GGAGATTCTGTTGGTGCTTTGTGCGATCTACAACCCAGAACTCGTGACAATAATTCCAAAGGAAAGTATGTATTCATCAGACTTACCAAGGAGTCAAGCTTTTGTGCTGTCCTCACAAAGGCGCACACGCCTGTGCTGAAGGAGGCTGCAGAGGATTTCCGCTGTGGCATGACATTTGAATGATGAGCAGTTCTGTGTGGCTGCGCTGCATTCACATTGGAAGCGCATGCAAGTGAAAACACAAAACCCAGACATGCATACATGGCTTGATGCGGAGAATCAAGGGATACAAATAGACCATTACAACACCAAGGGCTGAATGATGAGCAGTTCTGTGTGGCTGCGCTGCATTCACATTGGAAGCGCATGCAAGTGAAAACACAAAACCCAGACATGCATACATGGCTTGACGCGGAGAATCAAGGGATACAAATAGACCATTACAACACCAAGGGCTCAGCAAACAGCATTGACTGAGCCATTCAACATAATACTGACGTTCATGGACTTTGGATCGAGCATTAGTGGCTGCATCATACAGCTCGAGTGGCTTGAGTAGCTCCTACATTTCACCCAGAAGCTTCAATTGAAAGACACGATCCCTTTTTTTCGTCACTCACTCTCACTCGGTCTTGGTGTCTCCAGGCAGTCATCCCTATCTTTGGGGCACAGTCTGGATGAAGCTTTACAAGAGCCAAAGAAAGGATCAAGCGCATCTCAAAAAGCGCAGCTGCAGGGAATGAAATAGAACATGTTGCTCTTAACTTTTCCAGCATGATGACCTCTACACCTGCTTTTCATTCCTCTCGTGCAACCTGTATTCAAAGGCTCTTTGGTGACATCTAGTTTGACGTCCAGGTAACAAAAGAACCGCCTGAGAAAGGGCATGTCAATGAGAGCATCTTCAAGATCTTCAAGTGTACAACATAAAAGCGTATGTCAAGTGCATCACATCACTAAACCTTAGCCACCAACGACCTGCAGCACTTGCTTTGGATGACCGATCACCTTCAACTTTGGAGTCCAACTGGTCTTTGATACGCATTTAGAATTGGCTACATTATGCCATGTTTGGGTGAGCTTGTGCCTCTCTGGACAGTTGTGCCCAAGCCTTGGCTATCAACATCCAACAGACTTCGACTGGAGATATTATACTTCTGGCATCGTCTAGTTCAAGGATTGGTTCTGATATGTTTGTCCTTCCCACTGCAGTTGTGTGGCTGGCAGAAGGTGTCAGGTCAGCCTGACTCTTGAGCAACTTGAGATGCCTTGTCCCTAAACTCCTGCAAGAAGAAGCCAAGTAAGACACAGGCAGTTCGCTCTTTATGTGCTCGGGTCATTCGAGTCCTGCAAAGATTCAGTCAAGAAATGGAATGAAGCCATTTAATTGCTAAAAAGGGGGGGTAGGCCGCTAGAGGTAGCGAGTAGAAGAGGTAGCTAGTACCTTACTTAAGACTTAAGCTACTAGTATGGCCGCAGGACAGCTCACGCTATCTCACGCTTCTTTAGGGAAACTCCCCCCCTGCCTTAAAGCTTCCTTGAAGAAGCGCTCGAACTAATGATTTGGTTTCTCTAAGATTCTATGCACTAACTTAAGTTCTCTGCCTACTAATTGAGGCTGAACAAACCCACTTCTTGTCGCATGTCGCTACAGCTACATGCTTCATTCACTGCCTGAAATTGTCTGAAGGTGCCCTCTGCACGCTCTGCTCACCTGAACTCGTTGGATCCAATCCACAGCGTGATCAAGCTGGGACACAACTTGTAAGACTTGACCAATATGCAAAAACAAATTCTATGTACAGTAGTAGTAATATGCATCTCGATCATCTTGTGTTTTGCGAAACTTCAAGACCCTTGAGCTTGTGCATGTTTAGCTGATGTCTCGAGGCAAAGTTGAACAGTCCTCTGTCACACTTGGTAGAAGACTGAAGACATGCTTTCTTCAGTCTTTGCTTTCTTCAGTCTTGCCAGGCCTTCAACCGTGCAAGTTGTCCCACGTGAATCAGTGCGTTCGATCCTCACCTTGGGGAAAAGGACAACTTTCGGTGGTTGAGCAAAAGTTCGCTTGGGCTTCTGCCGTACCATCCGGCTGCTTTGTTTTGGTGATTTTCACATCCCATGACCTAAGAGCAACATTCCAATGATCTCAGGAGAGAACAGAGAACCCAGTCACAATTCAATTGAAAGGACTCGACGATCTCGACGAATTGTATGTTCTCCCCTTTCCTGCCAGCAATCGTGAGACAAAGTGCGCAGGTTGCTTTCTCTTTTGGCCTTCGCGGAGAACAAGCGTTTTCACAGCACAGAGCCTTGGGCACAGTCCAGGAAGTCTTCGAAAGGGTCCATTCCGAACAGGCTTTGGAAGAGGCTCGCTGCCTGGTGTGGGACTTGCAATCAACAACCTGCAACACCTTGCAAGAACTCGCGTTTCGGCCTCATTCGGCCTGAGCTTTTGAACACAAATTTGCTCTATATACGTTGACTTCACTCACAGGGAAACGTGCAAAAAAAGTACGTAAGAGAAGGGGTTACAATTACAAACACAGAAATAGTTCCGAAGGTAAGTACTTATTGGTATTGTTGATTAGAAGAGGGTATTGGAGGCGAGGTTTCTACAGAAAGTACATGAAAGTTTGGGCAAGTAGACACTTACACCAAAACATGGAAAGTACAGATTCAGATTCCTAGATAGTAACATATACAAGTAAGCTTTCTGGAGGCGAGTGTAGAATGCAGAAAAGTCAGAGGAAGATTCCCAGAAGGGTAGAGACAAAAGAAAAAAGGAAGTAATCTCAAATCTAAGATCGCAAACAAAGACTGAAAGAAACAGATAAAGGAAGGTAGTAGGACTTGAGCCAACAACATTGAGACATGAGAGTCGCACCAACAACCGGCTCCGCGAGGCGCAGAAAAGACGCTAGAGCCGCTAGGGTAAAAACAAAAGCAAGGAAGAAAGCAACTACTGTAACTGCGACCGACCAACCAACGTAACCACACGACCACATAACCAACCAACCAACCCTACTGCCGCCAAGCAAGCCCAAATAATCAATCAAATGAGCAGGGCGCTGCTTCCCTTGCCTTGCCTTTTGCTGGAGCTAGCAGCTCAGCACCACACACACTTCACCACATCCAAAATCACAGCCCATCACATCACCACGTTGCAACTTCACTAGCTTCTTGTTACTAGTAGCGATGCCAGGAGCCCCTACTGTAGTAGCGCCCTTGCTCCTAGTAGTAATGCCAGGAGCCCCTAGTAGCTTCTTGTTCCTAGTAGCGTTGGCCTCCAACCTAGTAGCTTCTTGCTGCTGGTAGTACAACAAAAACCTCAGCCAAACCTTCCTGTAAGATTACTCTTTCTCGTGCAACTAACTGCAGCCCTCAGTTCGTGCGAGATCTCGTAAGATTCAAAAGCGAAATGACAGCAAAATCCAAGCTGCCTCCGAAAGCGTGAAACGTGGTGCTGCAAAGCCTCTCTGGCCTAAAAAATCATGAAAGTTCTATTGTGACAACACACTTTAAAGATTTTACAGACTGAGTTGAGTCAACAAGATCAGTATGGCTCAACAAACATCCAAAAAGTCTGTCGTGACTGTCACTTCTACTCGAGCCTTGGAAATCGAAGGTGGATTGTTGGCCAACCTATGAATGCTGCAGCTGCGCTGGCCACTACCAGTTTAGACATGAAATCGGCGTAGTGGGATGGAGCCGCACACAGGTATCAACAAGTAATGTAGACAGATTAAAACCCCTTTAGATTAATTGGAAAGCCTCCTTGTATGGGATCATATGGGGGTGTTTATTAATTAAAGCCTACATTACTGTGTGCCCTTTTCCACTATTCTTTTGGGCTGTAAGTTAACAAACGATGAGATACCGACAATTGTTGCTTCATCTCATTTCCGAGCACAGTGTGGCGGTGAACTCAACATATAGCTAACCCGTGCTTAGTCCGTGCAGCCCCACATCCAAGTATTGAATCGATCACTTGCATATAACTAGCCAATGACCTCCCTTAGGCCGAGGCATTGCTGTGGGTGGGCTTGCCGAATGGGTTTCCTGGACCTTCTCCGGGTCGCTTGCCCCACCTGTACATGCCAGCCACAAGGACCAACGTATTAAACCAGTTTGGACAGCTTTGACAAACAAGTGGGGGCGGCACCATTGGAACTCTGAAGGAGGCTTTCGGGGTGGAGCTGCTCTTTCCTGGGTCTTGTAAACCAAGCAACTTCAGAGCTGTAAACCGAGCAACCGAACTTCTCTGATTAAACTATGAGAGAGCGAATTGTTCATATTTGTCAATAAGCACGGATGCCAAATAGTGGAGTCCCAAGGTTGAGGGGCCAGCGATTTGTTGCAACAGCTCCCAGAGTGAGCAATGGCAAACAGCATGACAGTTTCATTTTGAGCAGCTAGCTAGCTGGGAGTGCAAGAGATTGCTGTAACGACCAATGAGCAAGTGAATACGTCCTTGCTCCTAGTAGCGATGCCAGGAGCCCCTAGTAGCTTCTTGTTCCTAGTAGTAAGGCCAGGAGCCCTTAGTAGCTTCTTGCTCCTAATAGAAAAGGACTAAACATGATCAAACAGGCACTAATGTGACTAAGAAACCGCTTTATTCCCACTCCCCCAATGAGCCCTTCACTGGGTTCATCAGGAAAACGCGGAAAGCCCTGGGTTTCATCTAATTTGGAGGCTTCAAAGCATCTTTAGCACATCTCGTGGCCACCCTTCAATCCACCCGTCAATGATGGTGCAAAACCAGCATTGAAACCAGCAAGGCGAGCTGAACCATCACCATGACCACTTCCACTACCAAGGCCATGACCGCCATCCCGACCACGGCACCCTTGGTAACACCACCCCATAAATAGCACCCGGATCATCCATGCTCTACCATAGGCTATCAGAGTTCAAGATCTTTCAAGCATAGCTCACCCCACGGCCTGCCATCTCCCTTTTGATCTCCTTCGCAGAAGGGAAAACATGGGACAACTGGGCCCACTTCGATCTCTTCTTAGCAAACAGCCGCAGGAGAATGCATCTTTGAATTATATAGGCCAATCAAAATCCTTCTTCCGCAGTCATTCCAAGTTCCACTTCTGCCGCCCTCTCTTATTTCTCTCTTTTGGTCACCGGTGAACCGAGCTGCCAGGTCGTACTGCTTGCGCTTCTGGGAATTGCTCAGAATGGAATAAGCTTCTGCTAGCTCCTTGAACTTCTCCTCAGCCTGAAACACTTTTGGGCTTTTCATGCGGGGCGCAGCAACCCGAGGCGTGGGCTGGACATGAGAAGAAAACTTCTGGGATAGAGTTGGAGACTGGTCGATTTTATTGGTCTGCCTATTTTTTCGTGAAAATGTCACCAAGTAGTTGAGCGCAACGGATGCAACGGATCTCTCTCTATCTCTCTCTCTCGCTCGCTCGCTCCCGCCCTCCCTCTCTTTCTCTCCATCTCTGTCTGTCGTAATGCTGCCAGTTGCTTTGGGGGAGGTTGACTAGTAATACCCGAGAGCGCAACTTTTGTCTAGTTCCAGCTGCCGTCTGTCTCTCTCTCTCTCTCTCTCTCTCTCGCTCCCTCCCTCCCCTCCCTCCCTCCCTCGCTCTCTCACGTACAGTATTTCTTTGAGCGCAGCAATTGCACGCTGTTGCATGCAATCCTTTCAACAATGAACTTGTTTTATATCAGAATCCAGGTTGAAAGGAAACACGGACCGCTCCCTTTTCTTGCTTGTGCAAAAAGTGCCTACGGTGTTCACACCGTGCTGGTTCAGAGACTCCCCCTTTTCGCTATGCGAAAATTTCGATCTTTTCGATCGGGGCTCAAGGCACTTATGTTGGGCGTTGTGAGCACTTGTCTTTATAGTACTCCGCCCGCATGCGGTCCATTGACCAGCCTTTGGAGGCATTCATCTTTTGAAATCGGTTCCATGGATTCATCGGAACCTTCTCAGCCGGCTGGCTGCTCTTTGAACCAGGGCTCTCCGCTGCCTTCTGTAGCAGCTCCGAAGCCTTTTCTACGCTCTCAGCCGCGCGGTCAGCAGCATCGGCAGCTCTCAGCGCATTACGGGCAGCTCTTTCTGCCTCCTCCACAGCTTCCGTCACAGCCTGAATGGCCGAGCTGTTTGATGAAGATGGCACTTCCTCTTGTCCTCCCTGGATTGGAGTTGTCCTTCGTCGCAGAGTCTCATGCGCTGTAGATGCTTGAGCAGCGCCGCCTTGCCATTTCAAAGTTCTCACCATAGAACTCCGCCGTGTCATAGTTGTCTCCTTTGGAGCTCCCTTCTCACATGGCATCCTTTTTGCCGCCTCTTCATCAGCGCTTGCTTCTTCGTTGCCCCCTTCAGACTCGGAAGCATGCCCTTTCTCTTCATAGTCCAGCGACCTGGTAGATGTTCTTCTCACACTTGGTCGCCTTGTTCTCAGGGATGTAGGGATCTCTTCGTTCTCACTGACTTCCTCTTCTTCTGTGTGTTCTCCCGACTTAACACACAGTCGACGAATGCAGCATCGAACCGAACTGCACATGGTCTTCATCACCCAAATCGCCCCGATGATCACCAGGACGATGCCGCACATCCATAGGGCATCCACCGAAGATGCTGCTTCTTGGTCATTCTGACCTTGTTCACCCTGTGCTTCAGCTGCCTTGATCAGCAAGCCACCCACCACCAAAGCTCGTAGAGCTCCTTGTTGATCAGGTAGCTCCTGAGGCTGTCCTCCCAAGGCAGCTTTGTTCACTTTGGCCCCACAGAACCTCAGGCCAAGATCTTCTAAGAAACCTGCAAAGCTTTGACCAGCTAGGGGCTTTGTCATGCCATCTGCAACCAACTCCGTGCCACGTAGATGGTGGAGTTTCCAAGGTCCCCCGGGATACGAGCTTTGTCCATCCAAGGCTTCATGAAGAAGATGGGAGCGAACACGAAGGTGCCTGGTTCGCCATGATGACGTGCTGTTGCCATGGGCCAAACCAATCGCCGCGGCATTGTCGCCATACAGAACTCGCTCCAGGGTGTTCTTGGCATTCAGCGCCTCCCCCCACATAGCACACCAGAGCGCTTCTGTTGCCCTGCCAGCTGTGAGCGCCTCGCAGTAGGACACTAGCTCCGATTCTGCAGTGCTGTGGGTGACGAAGGGTTGAGTAGAGCTTTGCCATGCAACTGGAGCTCCTGCTAGGCTCACAACCAAGCCCTGAACACTGCGATGCCCGGTGCCCGACCCATATGCAATGTCTGCAAACACTTCCAGCAGCTTCTCATGACGCGCCACCTTCAGTTGTCCACGAGCGCCCCACTTTTGCTTCACCCAGCGAGCATAGTGAAGATCTCCTGGATTGCCTTTGATGTAGGCGAGCAACACATGGGCCACCTCTATATGGCTTTCATGGGATTGCGAGTCACCAGCCGGCTCACCGCCGCCACTCCATACGACAGGTCTGGACGCGACCGAGTCGAAAGCCAAAGGAGAGATCCTGCCAGCGCTTGTGCCTCACGAACTTTGTTTATGTCCACCTCCGGCTGTTGTTCACAATCGGCCTCTCCAAGCTTGAATTGCCGGAAGGACAAAGATGAACTCACCTTCCAGCGGGCCAAAAGTTCTTGCTCATACTTCTGCTGGGAGATGTGATAGCCATCACCCTCCTCATCCATCGTGACTTCAAACCCACAGAAGTGCACTGGCGTGGTAGGTGACGCCCATTCAACACTGGAAGTTGCCCAGGTGGACTGCAAAGTTGTGAGGGCTGCTGCTATGGCTTCCTCCTCCCCTGACATCAAAATGTCATCAACGTAGACGGACATGAGGCCAGACCAGATTTCCTCCCCCGAGATCGTGTCCGTCTCCTCCAGCCGCCATAGGTTGTCATCGGCCGTCTTGACAAAATAGCCTCGGACATTGCAATTGCGATCTCCTCGAACTCGAACCCAGCTCAGCGATGGCAATGTCAGATCGCGGTGCTTCGACCAATCCCGTGGAGAAGTCGTCAAGCCGTACATGGCCAATTTCACCAACCAAACCTCTCCTTCCTTGGCCAGGCCAAGTCTTTTGTAGACATTCGGAATCTCCATCGCAACAAGTTTGCCATCATCACGACGGGGTGCATTGAGAAATGCCACACGGATGTCCGTGGCTGCCAAGCTCCACCCTTTCAATGCCGATGTTCTTAGCAGGGCTCTCACCTGACATGCATCGGCACCTCCCGCGTAGCAGTCACTGCTGAAACGGGTGTCAGAGTAGTTGCCGCACACCACCGCTCTTGCCCGTCGTTGGCCTGTTCCGGCCTTGCGAGTGTAGACCATTTTTGCTGGCAAAAGTTCAATGGTCTTCTGCTGCTTTTCGGCTCGATGGTGAAGCTCCCTTTTGGAAATCTGCTCAACCGCCTCCTTGGTTTCGACCAGTTGGCTATACTCGGCCGTGATGGATGGTACCCAGTTTTCGAAGTCATCCATGACCTCCTTATTGCCCACCGTTCGGGTGACCAAGAAATCTTCATCTAACTCCTTCTGGTCCATCTCCAGGCCTTCTTGATCAGCCTTCAGCAAAATCTCTTCTGCCTCCACCTTGTGCATGATGGCTTCAGCAAGCACCTCCATATAGCATCCTTGCTCATGGCTGGTGACATCAACATGCTGCATCTCCTCACCAACATACTCCGCCAGGTTCGCTTGGATCTTGCGAACAAAACCGACCTTCGTGAGAGGGGCCTTCCCAAGTGCTGCTTTCTTCAACGAGGCCACCAGGCGTGAGCCACCGTCCTGGTTGTTAGGCGCCTCCGCCCGCTCCCCACCTCCAGTTGAGTCCTCCTCCATCGAGTCCGATGCACTCTGGGAAGCCCTCTCACTGGATGACGATCGGTCCGGCGTTTCGATGGTCCAGCTGTCACTGCTCACCTCACCTTCCAGCCTCAAAGCATCTTGTGGTGCAGGATGATCAAACTGATCTCGATGCAAACAAAGCCACTTTTGGACCCACTCCTCCCCCTCCATGTGCAACATGGAAAGCTGCGGGATGGCTGTCTTTTCGCGAAGCCTGCGACGTGGAACGCCACCCTCCCAAAAACCTCGAACTGGCGAATCGGGCAACTCGGGCAAGTGAACCAAGGCTTCTGCAGACTCAGGTTGGTCAGCATTGGGGACCACCACATCATCAGTATAAAAATACCTTTGTGTCTCAACCGACTGGACATAGTAACTTGTGGTGGTCAAAGAGGATTGAATTGCCGGGCCCAAAACAAGAACCTCATCCCTGATCTCACGCCAGGGCTGATACCTGTCTTGCCAGGATTTCTTCAATGCAAAGGCACGAGCTCCGAAGTGCAAGAGCGGGCCCACTGGACAACCGAGGCTCCTCAACTGACCTCTCAGCCGGCGTTCGCCGATGTGAATGGCCGCCAACGGCCAAAACTCCAAGCCCTTGCCCAAAGCAGCGACCACTGTTCGCACATGCTTCTTGATGACTCCCAGTTCCCCTTCCACACGACCATTGGACTTGAAAGAGTCACCTGATGTCAGGGTAGTGACAATGCCACGATCCAAAGTCCACCGCCTCACCGGCGCTGAAATCAGCTCTCGTGCACGATCGCAGTGAATGCGGTACACAGGGAGTCCAAGGCTCCTGAGTCGGGCATAGATTCTTGCCAGAGCTGGAAGGATGTGTGTGACTGCCCCAAAGGTCAAGTTGCGAACCTTGACTTCTTGCTCCTCCTCCACCGCTTTGTGCCATGTCTCGTACTCTTCTTGGCCCTTACGAATCCCCACCTCCGTCACACCGCCAGCACACCCATCCTCCGCCGCCTCCGCCATCTCCGTCATCTCCTCCCCCAGACCCCGTGTCTCCTCTGCCTCCAACATCACGACATCGCCGGGATCATCTGGTGGCTCTGAGGGCGTGTACTCATCGGCGTCCACGTTGAAGGAACTCGGATCGGCGGTTTCGGGCACATCAAGTGGACGGCTGTTGGGAAGCTCAGCCAAAGGATTTCCAGCCTTGTCCACGGGAAAGGTGTACACTGCCACCATCATGTACCTGCATTCATGGCGACTTTGATCATGACCAGCCACCATCTTTCCTGAAAGGTCAACGCTCAGGGTATAGGCCTCTGGATGGCTTACCCTCTTGCTGATGCCTTGACGCAATGCTTGCAATCTCTCCGGGCCGGCATGTGGTCGTTGAGATAGTGAGCTCGCCACGACTCTAAAGCCACCTGACCCAACGGACGAAGAGCAGCTTCCAGCGAAGGGGTTGTACCACGATGCAAACGATCCTGGATGGCCAACACCAAAGCAACTTTCAAACCAGGGCCCATGCAGACCAGGACCTTGAATCTTCGAACCGTTCTTGCAGGGTCATGTCATTTCGATCAGGGACTTGACCGTCAGGGTGAACTCCACTTGGTAGTCCACGGACTTCATTCAACACCTGGATGTCCCTGAGCACAACTGCCAATGTCGTCGGCTTGCGCTTGGTGTGGCCCATCGGACCCTGGTCGAAGTGGAGCATCTTGATCTGGTACTTCGTGGCAAAGTCCTGCCATTCACGAGTGCGCCAGATCGACATGAATTTCTTTTCTTCAACTTCAGCATGAGGTCTGTAATGAGCAGGGTCCTCTGGCTGTTCGATGGCGAGTCCTGTCTGGGGCTCATCGGAGAAGCGCACATCCTCACATACCATGTACATGGCCAGCATGCGAAAGAACAACACACTGTCGCCCACCACCAACTCCTGCTCTGCTTCCGTCAGCGTCGGAAGGCCATAGGGGTGTTCTTCTGACCGAAGGAATGCCGGACCACCATCATTTTGGTATCGCAAAGCTGACACCGTGCGACAGGGCGGACCGCCCAACAGGGCCTTGACTCGACCCGAAGCCGCCAGCATCAGGAGGTACCGGAAGACGTTGTCGTCATGGAGATCAGCCGGTACCTGAGCATTGAGGTCCACGCAAAGCACCTCCACTCCATTGCCGGACAGCTTCTTCTCCCAAAAACGTTGGTCAGGACCTGAAAAGAGGTGCACGACCACCTGCTTAGCATTGGCAATGTTGCGCCGTTTTCTTCGATTCCAGGGCAAGCGGCTTCCGTCAATGCCGTCCTGCACACAGGTCATCTCTGGAATCACCCTCATCAAGATCTCATCAGGGAGAGCTGGAAACAATGCTTTCAACTTCACCGTCAAAGCCAGCTCAATATCGTTCTTCACGTCGGCCACTCCCATGGACTTTGGGTCTGCCAACAGTGCATTCACCAGCATGGTCTTCATGGCGACTTTCAGTTGCCGAATCTCCAACTTGTTGATGAGCTCTCGTCCCACCTCCTTTGAGACCATGGGGCAGTTTTGGTTGATGGTCACATCGACCTCCTTGCCTTGTTCATCGCAAAGCCAGCATCGTGCTCCCTTCCAACCAAACCTGTAGCCCATCTCTGTGATGCCACCCATAGGAACTATCCAGGATTGCTTTGCTTCATCCTCCTGTGGTGACGAGAGGAGCACCTTTGAATTCAGGCTTCAACCTCAACTTGTTAGTGGTCCCGTCAGCCAAGGAGACTTGAGTGGGGTTTGCGCTTTCCCACTCTTCCTCGCTAGTCGCAGGCCGCAATGCATGGGTTGCACCTGAGTCCAAAAGAACCATCATGGAGCTGTTGTCATAGTCCAGCTGGCTCACCTTTATCACCCGCAACTGAGGTGCTCTGAGCGACTTCAACAGCTTCGTGGCCTCTTGAAGCAACACTTCACTTGACGTAGCTCCTGTCTCCCCACCACCACCTTGCTTCGCTGCTGCTCCACCTCCAGGTTCACTTTGTGGCACGGCCGATGCTTGTTCACCAGCGTCCATCTCCTGCAGCTTGGGCGTGGCATAGGTAGTTGCCGGACTTGGAGCCCCTGCGCCAGTAGTTGATTTGGGCGCCCCAGCATTGACATTGTGAGCCGTCTGGCCCTTTCCTCCCCCTGAACCTGCCCCAGGTTCACCACTGGACTTGTGGTCCTTGTTGGAGCCTTTGGATTGCTGGCTTTTCAACTTGCAATCCGACTTGCGATGGTCTTTGCCCCCGCAGATCCAACACCTCGCATTCTTGTCCTCCACCCCGTCCCACGAATGCGACCACTTGCAATTCTTGCCCGCCTTGCGCCCAGTGTCGGAGCGGAAGTATCTGCATGGCTGAGCCGCTGTCGACACACCCTTGCCCTTCTCAATTTGGCCATTTGAAACCGCTGATGGTTTGACCGGAGCTTCCATCTGCTTGACCTTGATGGAGGGTTGTGGTGAGGCAATGGGTGCATTGATCATCAGCGAAAGCGTCTCTGCTTCCGCAAGCAAGCATTGGCTAAACCGCCAAACACCTTGATGATGAGGACGTTGATCGATGCCCAACTGCAACCTGCTCTGTGCCAGGCGAAACGACGCTTGGGAGTCCTGAGTTGCAATCATCGTGCAAGCTGGCTCCAAGGCTGCAAGCAACAAAGTGCCATCAGGAAGCACTGCGTCGATCTCACCAGCTCTTGCAAAATGACGTCGCCACGACCTCAAAGCAGCTGCAAGCTCCGTGACTGTACTGCTCTTGTCCAAGGCCGTCAACTTTGAGAGCAAAATGGCCTTTTCTCCAGAGCCACCAGGCTGGTACCGCACCATCAGGCGGAAGAGCAATGCCGTGGAGTTCAACTCACGCGCCGAAATCAGCGCCTGCTGCTGGTCGGCCGGTATGGCCCTGAGGAGCAAATTCACCCCCCTCTGCTCCGTCCTCTGGTAGCCCCCATCGAGGAGCTCATCCGGCAGCCGTGGATTGATCTGCACCCGCTCCAGAGGTGATGATGTCTTCCACCTCTCATAGAAACATTGGGCCTCCCTCAATGTCAGATTCCACCACCTGGCACTGACTTGGGAGATGTCCCGAAGGACAGGGCCACAGACCGCCAGCCAATCGCCCAGCTCCAATGGAGAAGCATCTGCCGCCAACTCCGCGAGCTCTGCTTTGCCATTTGCCGCTCCTGGTCTCCCATGAAGATGGGGTGGATGTAGGGCCAGTCACCGCCGCTGACACCTTGGTCATCTGCTTCTTAAGTCGAGCCAGTTCCTCAGTCAGCTGCTCGTTTTGCTCTCGCAGGAAGGTGACCATTTCTGCCTCCAATGCACGCTGAAGGCCATTCCCTGCCTCTCTATCGGCCGAGGAACTTGCTTTTGCCTGTACCGGCTCTGAGGAAACCTGCTTGGTTGGCACAGGTCCCATTGTTCTTTGGGGTTGTGATCGAACCCCGGAAGGTGCAGTGGTTTCTTCCCCTGGCATCAAACCTTCAGTCTTCCGTAGACCACCATGACCTCTTCCTTCTGGATCTCTATGGCTTGGGGGTGTCACATACATGCGCCGATGCGCCCACCCACGACCGAAGCACCTCGGCCCTTGCCCAATGCCCACGTGGCGCCATCCTGCACCGCTTCAAGCTCCAGATCATCATCTGGTGGAATCGGAAGATCCTCCGGTCGCTTCAGGCGGAGGAGTGCCTCTTGCTGCACCTTTTGCGACCAAAAGGGATTGATCGCACCTTGGTCCATACCGCCTCCAGGCGGCAGTGAGCGTGCCCTGTCCATGGCAAGCCCACTCAGCACCAACACACGATGAGGTGCGAGTTTGGGCTCATAACCCTTGAAAGGAAACACGGACCGCTCCCTTTTCTTGCTTGTGCAAAAAGTGCCTACGGTGTTCACACCGTGCTGGTTCAGAGACCAGGAATCCACCAGTAGGTTTTTTGCTCAAATTGAGATCTCCCACCCTGGCATGCAAGTGTGACATTCCCTTTGTATCCCTTGGTGCCTCCTTGTTACCAGGGTTCTTGTCAGGGTGGTATTTGATGGCCAGCTTTCTATAAGCCTGCCGAATCAGAAAAACATATGGTGAAAGCCCTCGGCTGCTCAAGCACAACATCAAAGCATGCTTCCCTGCTGGTGATGACTATGGACTATGGAAGCCTTTTTGATGTCGGCTTCCGGGGCATCGAGAGAAACTCCCAAGACCTCGCGCAAGGAAAAAAGACCTAGCCTGCATAACCCTGAAGTGTGATTGTCCACTTGCCGCTAGGAGACACAGTAGAATCAAAAGACAAGTCAACCAATGTGTCAGCAGCCGTACTCAAAGCGAACCTTGGCTACTCACCTTCGGATTGTTTTGATCGGCTGAGCTCGTGTTTGTTCAATAAGGAGTCAGCTAGAATATAGTTGAGACATGTTGAGACTATAAGGAATGTCAAGCTCTTCCAACTTTCCGCTACTTGGCAATGAATGCAAGGGGTTAGTGGTGTTGTCGGAGATGACCAAGTGTCTGTCCTGGTAGTAGTCGAAGGCCGCGTTGGACATGGCTCTTTTTGATTTCAACACACATGAACACCACCTGCATGGTTTTGGTGCTGCTGACTGTTGAACTTCTAGGCTGATCTACGCTGCAAGAGCTTTTGCTCCCAGTCTCATCAGCACAGTCTTTGATGGAGTTACGCATGGTTGCTAGGCAGTGCTGCAGCAAAGTTATTTGCTGATTTCATCGATATCAAGTGGAAAGGCTGACAGGCTCCTTCCAGCTCTTCAAGTTCGGCAAAGGCCCATTGCTGATAAGCAACTCAACAGAAAACAGCTTCAAGCTCCGGCAATCTTAGGTCTCTGGAACAACCCCAGCAGTACCGCTGCTAAGCAGAGTTTGCCATAGAGTCTAGAGGCAAGTCCAGAGTCCAGTGCAGCAAAACAACCGCGTGCTGTTTTGCCCTGCAGGTTTGATGCACAAACTCTCTCACCTGCTGGCCAAATCTGGCCAGTGTCACACGGAATCACGCGCATTATGTATTCTCAACGGTTGCGCGATATTGAGCATGCTGCTCCACTCTCCTGGGATTGCTGCTAATGAAAACTGCTTTGCATTGCATTGAATATTCAGATTTTTGCAACAAAATAGTGCTTTGCATGCTTTGCATTTGCGACACCAAGGAGCTCAGCAAAGTTTAGCAAATGCAACTGTGGCAATGACCACAAGAAGAAGCTGCACACCCAAGGCCACGAAAATGCCCACCATCCAATTCTGCCATTGGTACGGTCATGTGACATTGTTCACACAGACTGTCTGGTCGTTTGATGAAGTCTTTGGTGGACAGTTTGAGCTTTGGGGGAGTAGGTAGTGCAGCATGTTCCTTATCAATGTATAAAATCATGCGACATGCAGCAGCAATTGCCGTATTGCCTTCCGACCCAACCCCGCAAGAATGATTATTATTCTGCCAAATCAATCTTCAGAAAAGTCTGAGGTTTTGCTTTGTCCGCATCAGCGATGCAAATCTTAACTTCGCAAGTAAAGTACAGTTTCAACCATGTTTCCATTACATAACTGGTTCTTACTACCAGTAGTTAATCGCAAAATCGCATTTGTGTACACAGCGTCAGCACGTTTAAATGGGTTGTCTTTCGGAATGTTTGCATACGGGGTATGCGGGTATGCTTGCTGGTATGCTTCGTGGCACTTCGTCGAGTGTGAAGTTGCGGATGCTCTTGCAAAGCATTCAAAAGATTTATCGGTCTCCAGGTTGGTTTCAGAAGTTATGGTTTCAGTGCTGTGTTTCCGATGGTTCCTGTTTCCTTTCAGATCTTCAGTGCTCTGACCGTCATATTCCGTGCCGTATGCGCTGCAAAGCTTTAAAAGGCCCAGGATGGTCCAGGCCTTCCAGGCAGTGCCGCACTGAATCATATTGAATCTCATTGTTTCATGTATATATAAATATATTTAAAACAACACACACACAATTTTGAATGTCTGTTCTGATATGTCGTGATCAAATCTCCTTGCTGAGTTCCTGGAGTCTTTACACACCACTGCTTGCATTGTCTCTGCGCTTAGCGCTTGGTCATTAGTCCTGCCTGGATTCCAATTTGCTCAGCCCTTCATGCCCTCTCTCTTGCTTGCGTGCTGGTCATGCACACCTCTTTGTTGGGATTTTGACACGTTTGTCTGTATGCTGGAGATTGCTGGAAGAAGGAGGTCTTGATGCTTTCTCGCCCGTGGACGTTGCGACTACAAAAGTTCACAACATTGAAAGAATGACAGGTGACAGGACCCCAAAATGTCAACATCCCTGTTGCAGGCAAGAACGATAGTGAAGCCACCAGAACCATAGACGTTTGATGACGTGGTTGTGATTTATGTCGTAGTTCCATAAAAATTATGGACTTTGTTTTTTGAGAGCACAAGAGTACATTTGGTGGACCACAATAACCTGCATTCAACACTTTAAACTTGAGAAGGAACACACACAGTCTCAACTGGACCTTATGGAATCAGCAATGTTTGTGTTCAATTCCGGTCGAAATTGCAAGAATGAACTGTCTCCTGGCCAACGTCGAAACTGTTGGGTTACTAGACAGGTCTAGCACTTATTTAAAATGTTGGAGTGGCCAGACCCGGACGCCCCTCGTTTCAAGGAGGACTGTGGAATCACATTGCTGACTCGAAGTTGGTTGTCGCTTTAACCTCACGTTTGGTGCTACCCGCATCCTAAACAATTTGCCCTTTGGCTACTGCTGCTTTGGTGTTCTTTTGCCATTGTGCTTTGGCGTTCCCTTGTTTGTTTGGTGCTACTCGGCAGCGCCATGTCAGACCTGGTGGCACGTTGTGCCACTTCTCTTGAAGATGCCTGATGGCGACAGTACCAAACAGTTTTTCTGATTTGTCTTGGTGTTGCCCCCTCGACTCCCTGAAAGAGAGGGGTCTGTGATGAGCATTCAGCGCAAGCAACCAAATTGGAATTGCATCTTGAGTTTCAAACGTGTTGTGAAATTTGCTGGAAAACATTGTGGTGTAAATCGGCGTAATTCGTAGATCCCGTACTGTAATCAAATGTTGGATCAATTAGACAGCCATGGACACACTGAGTGGTCACAGGTTTGATCTGGTTTGCAAGATTTCTCGGTTTCCAAGGGTGACTGTTTTTTTCGTGTTTTTTTCCGACGAGTTTTGTTTCTTTTTTTTCCGCACTGTTTGTGGCCAGGGGTTGCCACAAAGAGAAAAAGAATGAGAACTAAGGCAGGAGGCAAGGAACAGAAGAGTAGAAGGAGAAGGAGAAAAAATAAAAGGAGGAAAGGAGGGAGGAGGAGAAGGAGAAAGAGAAGGAGACAAAGGAGAGAGGAGAAGGAACAAGAGAAGGAGAAGGCTCTTCCCGCTGCATTCTTGCAGATCACAACACAGTATACACCAGCCATGTGAGAATGGTAGCGCTTACCGGTAAGTCTGAAATGTACGTGTAGGTCCCTGCATGCATATGTATATCTATGTACGTGTGTGGCTCCGTGGCTGAACCTTGTCCTCCTCTTGTCCTCCTCTTGGCCGCGCCCCTGAACTCTGTCAACTCTGTGGCTGGGCTCTGTGTCCTCCT